TTTCACAGTAGGACTCCAGGTGATTTTGAGAGTACATTTATTAATGCTGGGGATAGTAAAAGAAAGGAAGGGCTTAGGATAGAAGAAGCAACTTGAGAGAGCCTAGATGAGGCTGCTTTGGCTTCCTAAAAACATTATAGGAAAGAAGAAGCCAAGTTAGGGCTGCTGTCAGCTCATTGAGAAGTAAAAGTCACAGTCACAGCAGTGAGCCCAGGCGAGGCTGACGTTAGCTCAATGAAAAGTTAGAGAAAAGGTGGCCTTGGACACAGACAGGTTCAGGGGGTAAGTCTGGGATGAGCTGCTGCTGCCCGCTGGTCCCCTGGTTGCAAGTCTCATGAGGACTCTTAGAGTCTACGAGAAAGTTCACTCCCAAGAAAGGAAGGGCATGGGTATGCCCCTGAGAGGGCTTGAGCTGACATCCTTTGTCTTGAGGACTTTTATTTCTCTTCTGAGGGTAGGAATCCTACAGGAAGTCTCAAGTTCTCAAGAATATTCATCAGTTTTCCAGGTGTGCTTTTTAATATACTGATGTACCAAAGTGAGTGCATAGAGGTACTAAGGTCATTTTTTGGTCAGCTCTGCCTCTACCTTGGATTTGTTTGGTTCTAATTGGGTTTTTTGGTCATTTATTCCCTTAACTTCATCTGTCCTTGGGTTTGGCTGGCACTAATGACACTAAATTGGGTCCCTGTTATCTATCTCCCTGATCAGGGTGATTTAAGCTATTATTTACTCTCTAGTTAGGGAGAAGTATAAACAATTTGCTCTCAAGTGTTCTTGTATGGTAGGCAGTTAGACATACATGAACAGAGCAAGGATAATGGGCCAGGTACAGAAGGTCACCAGGGTGGAAAGCCCTGGGTGCCTAGCAAAGGACAACTGTAGGGTGAGACCTTGCCCCCCCCGGGTTACCTTTCCATCCCTAACATATCGCTGGTTTTGGGGTTTGGACCCCCTGACCTTTCCTCCCTAGAGATAACATCTAGGCCTCAGTTGTATTTCAGCTCCAAGCCAGAAAAGCAGCAAAACCAGACAAGTGACACCATAGCTGACCTCAGGACCAACTGCATTGACTAATGATGCCCTACCCTGGAGCCAACCAATCAGTGGAGACCATGACCTTGAAAGAACACATCTTGAAATCCGATGAATATTCTATAAAGACCCTCCCCTGGGACCTCCCCTAAAATCCCCGCCCTTAAAAGTCTTTAGGACAGGGGACCCATCATCACACTCTCCCTCCTGGGAGCATGCCAGGGCATCATGTGAGCCAATTCCTTAAGTTAATCTCTCAATCTCTCTCTCCATCTACACACATACACACCAACACAAGATCCTGTTGACTCTGTTTCTCTGGAGAACTCTGACAATACACTATCCAAAAGAAAACACAACTTTGCCTTAAAATTTATTTAAAAGGCATACAGTTTATTTGAACATCAACAATCAATAATATTAACTAAGGCAACAACAGTCTAAGAAAAGCTAATCAAATTCCAGATGTGGAGACTTACTAGCTTTACCAGTTTCATTTAACTTGCCAAAAGACTGATAAGAGACACTGCTTAATCCAAATAAGAGAGAGTAATTTGTTTTAAAAAAGTGCTTGAGAATAAAAGTCAAGATGAAGTATTAAAATACTTATTAGTATCTTGGCAGATGTACAAAATTATATCACACAGACGTACAAATATATATAGGTAAACTTTCCCCAGGAAATTCATATTTATTGTACAATGATATACCTGAAACTATGTAATTTTATTAACCAATGTCAGCCCAAGCTACCCAGTAAATTCAATTACAAAATTAATTTTTACAAAAGAATAAAATAAAGATAAAATTATTGACTATACATTACTATTGATCTTGAATCATTATTTGTATTACTTTCCTCAATCTCATAAGATACAAGAACAATAATAATAAGTACTATGGTATAATAAGAAATATATTCGGTCTTTGTCCTGTGTTCCTGGCACAAAGCTCCTAAAACCCTTACGATTTTTTCAGTGATCTGAGTATCTTTTATCATTCATAAGGAGCCCCTTTTGAGAATGCCTGAGTTTATGCTAATGAAGTGATTTAGGAAAGGGCTCATAAATAGATTCAGCTGGGGCTGGTCACCAGAAAAAACAAACGTTTACAGGGTAGGAATTTTTTAGCCACACCCACAGACCTGTGGGAAGGGAAAGAAGGGGCTAGAGGTTAAGCTTTATAAAAACTCTTGAACAACAAGTTTTGATGAGCTTTCAGATTGGTGAACAGATCCCTGTGCAAGGAGTACGGTGCACCACCATTCCATGGGGACTGAAGTTCCTGGGCTAAGAGCCCTCTCAGACCTCACTCTTTGAACCTCTTCATCTGGCTGTTCATACCTTATAATAAACGTAAGTACAGCAGGTCCTTGGATAACAGTTTCATTCAATGTCATTTTGTTATAATGTTGATGAGGGGAAAAAAACAAAACTTGATCCCCAGATGGGGCTACTGTCTGTGTGGAGTTTACACATGCTCCCCATGTCTGTATAAGTTTTCTCCAAGTATTCCAGTTTCCTCCCACATCCCAAAGATGTGCATGGTAGGTGAACTGGTGTGTTTACACTGTCCCAATCTGAGTGAGTGTGGGTGTGTGTGAGTTGTGACAGTATAGTAAGAAGCCAGAAAAATTCCTGGGCAAGTGGAATAGGGAAACTGAGACAAGAAAATTAAACAAGGCAAACAGTTTGGAAAGCTTGCAGCCAGCTTGTAAATCACAAGACATTATCTTCCCCAACCAAAGTCACGAGAGCAAAGGATTAACACCTCCTCTATAATCAGAGAATACATAGCTTAAATCATCCTGGAACTGCTAAGGTGGGAGTGGGAAAGAAAAAAATGGGAGTTTTATCTCACCCATTGAACAAAGAAGTCAGCCATCTTAGGGCTTGCCAAACAAGATGACCAGGTGTATGTACAAACATCCCAAGAAAAGCCACAACAAAGTAAAAGGGGGACTTTGAAACTGAATCTGCTACGCAAGATATCCGGCAGAGGAACCTTGAAACCCATAAGAAGAAGAGATTAAAATCTCTTGAACCCCCACCAGGTGCACACTCAGATTAGCTGAGTGGCCCACTTGTGCTATATGCCAAGTACATTTTTAACAAATTTGCTTGGGATGCTTCATTAATAAATTCACTTGCTTTGCTACAACACTATTGTCTGCCACTCATCTGAAGTCTTTCTTACAAGACTGACAAGAACCAAGGAGGAAACAGCTCTCTCCTCCCAACTCAGGGGCTATCCGATAACATCTTTTCTAGGTCCGATAACAAGTAGCCCTGTGATGGAAGAGCATCCCTGTTCTGAGTAGATTCTCACCTTGTGCCCTGAGCTGCTGGGAGAGGCTCCAGTCACTCGTGATCCTGAACTGGAATAAGCAAGTTGGAAAATAATTATCTTAATTGTTTTTGTTAATCTTTCTAAATGTATGTATAGCTCACATTTATTTCAATGTTTAATAACATAAGTGTTTTGAGTTTTTATTTAGAAGCTTGGTGATGTTTTTGTGACCAGAAATATGCTGTAGGAACTTAACTCTTGCTTATCTCAGTCTATGGTAAAATAGGTTTCATCATACATTGTTTCACTTAAAGTCAGTTTCCAAGAACCTATCAATGACATTAAATGAGGACTTCACTGTAAATGTTATGCCAAGTTCTGATGTGAGCCTCTCTAACAAATTAATCAAATCTGAGGAGGAGGCTGTGGAAACCTCCCATTTACAGCCAGTCAGTCAGAAGCACAGGTAACAACCTGGACTTGCAACTGGCATCTGAAGTGGGGACAGTCTTGTCAGACTGAACCCTTAACCTGTGGGGTACAATGCTTTCTCCAGATAGTGTCAGAATTGAATTAAATTTGTAGGGCAGCCAGTCAGTGTCTGCTGAGAACAGAACAGCTTGGTGGTGTTGGAAAACACACACATCAGAAGCACTATAATCCCAAGAAGCAGTGACCTGACAGCAAATTTCTTTGCATAAAAGAATCCCCTGATCTTCAAAACACTAATTACGAGGGTTTATAAATAGGATGTTAGCACCACAAAAGTGCCTATATCAAAATAACCTTGGTTGAAATTCATTTTCATTGTTGCATATGAAAGGAAAGGAGAGTATAAGAGACAAGGACTTACAAGTGGTAGGTCAAGACAAAGCACAGAGATTTAACAGAGAGCCCAACAAATTTCAGTTCATCTATAGCTATCTTTATAAAGTCCACCACATCTATGTACAGTAGTGGGTCTCTAAGTGCGGTCCCCAGTTCAACCACATCAACATCACCTGGAAATGCACATTCCTGGTCCCCACATTAGACTTACTGAATCATTCTCCGGGGAGGGAGACCAGGAATCTGTTTTAACAAGCCCTGCAGACAATTCTGGTGCACACTAAAGCTTGAGAACTGGTAATCTCCAGTAAAGTCAAATGCCTTTAAGAATGAGGCACAACTAAATCAGGTAATTCTAGAAATTGAGTGGCAGAATTTTACATCACTATGGATCACATGGGGGAAAATTTTATTAATATTATCCCTCCTTTTCATAAGGCATTTATTAAAAAAATGTTTTCCCAATATCATCTAACTGACATTACTTAAGAATTTTCCCATGATCTAAAATTGTCAGTCTATTCATAGGCTGCTTTGTGCTCAACAAAATAGAACAAAGCAAAAGTTTTTAGGAAGGACAATGATACATTCCCAGGCAAAACTTACAAGCTGAGGCACCATATTATAAATTGCTAAGCTTTAAATTAAGTTTTTTAGTTCTTCCATCATTTGGGACATGAAACTCATCAGTAAAAACTAAAAATACCCAATGTATACAATATTTCTATAAAGTTTGCACTTATGTATATGAAAATTTGCCAAAGGGGACAAAATCCTGCCAAAGAGGCAATTCCTCTGCCAATTTAATTCAGACTATTAGCATTTCTTTGTATAGAAAAAGTAAATACCTTTAAACTGTTTGATCATGTTCTGATGGTTTTCAATGGCCTCCTTCAAGATCACTTCAGGCTGGTCCATCTTCCACCGCCATTCAGTGCCCACTGGGTTGGTGTGGTGCCTAGGAAAAAGAGGCAAAAGTTCTAAAGTATTCTCTGGAATAAGATCTCAGCTAATCATCTACTAGGAAGTAGTAAATAAAATCATAAAATCAGGGTTGATTTCCCCCTAAATGCTTGGCTGTGTATAGCTATATTTTCCTATTTAAGTGGAAATGAACTTAAGTCATGATACCTAGCAGAGAGGAATGATAGGGAAGTGCCTGGCTGAGACTGAGATCTAATTATAACAATATAAAATGTGCACCCCTCTCTCCCAGCCACCCAATACCAGGCTAACAAGCACCTAATAACAACTAGCAGTAGAATACTGCCAGAATAGTTGCAAGATCACAGTGAGAGACCCTCCCTGAGAGGCAGCACAATGGGAAGACCTAAAGCTTAGGATGGATCAGATATTGAGAAAAAAACCCTGGCAGACCAGCCTCCCTGCTATACACAAGCAGCCCTAAAGGAATTTCAAACCAGCAATACACTGAGGGTATGCACAGGAACAACAAACCTGACTTCAGGCCCAACTCTTGACTAGACTAATTCAAACTCCAACAAGAAAGGCCTAGCAGAAAGAAAAGGTGTGCCAATTTCAAACTAAAACAAAAAATTGTAAGGTATAAAAAAATCAAGAAAAACAATACATTTCCAGTAGAAAGCAATCAACAAAACCAAACTCTTTTGACAGAAGTGCTGGATCTGACAGAAAAAAATTTTAAATTACGACTAATATGTTAAAAGCCCTAATAGAAAGGGTGAGCAACATGCAGGATCAGATGGGTAAATTCAGCAGAGATGAAAATCGTAACATATCTGTTATAAGAGATTCATATCCAAAATGTATAAGATAAGGGATTAATAGCCAAAATATATAAGATATATCAAATAAGGAATTATCTGATATTGATGTATATCAGATAAGGGATTAATATCCAACATATATAAGAAACTTTTACCTCAGTAGCAAAATCAAAAATTAAAAATGGGCAAAGAACTTAAACAGATATTTCTCCAAACAAAACATACAAATTACCAACAAATATATGAAAAGATGCTCAACATCACTAATCATCAGGGAAATGCAAATCAAAAACCACAATAAGACATTACCTCACACTAGCAAAAAAAAAGAAAATAACATGTGTTGGTAGGTAAAGATGTAGAGGAATTAGAGCCCTTATGCACTGTTGGGAATGTAAAATGGTGCAGCCACTATGGAAAATTGTATGAAGGTTTCTAAAATATATACATATATATTTTTATTTAAAATATTACAAATGTCCTTTTGTCTCCCCAATGACCCATTCCACCCTGTCCCATCCCCCTCCCCAGTCCCTCTCCACACCACTGTCCGTGTCCTTGGGTTGTGCATATATGCCTATAAATTCTTTGGTTACTCTCTCCCCCTCCACCCACCGGCCCTCTTTCATCCCTCTGACATTCGTCAGTCTGATCCATGCTTCCATGTCACTGAATCTATTCTGTTCATCAGTTTAAGTTCTTTAGATTCCACATATAAGTGAGATCATGTGATGTTTGTCTTTCTCTGCCTGGCTTATTTCACTTAGCATAATTTGAAGGTTTCTAAAATATTTAAAAACAGATCTATCATATGATCCAGCAAGCTCACTTCTGGGTATTTAAAATATTTAGAATTAAAAACAGGATCTCAAAGAGATATTTATACATCCATGTTCACTGCAGCATTATTCACAAAAGCCAAGATGTGTAAAAACCTAAACAGACACTGACTAACAAATGGGTGAAGAAAATGTGCTATATACATACACTGGAATATTAGTCAGCCTTAAAAAGAAGGAAATCCTGCCTTATGTGACAACGCGGATCAATCTGGGAGATGTTATGCTAAATGAAATAAGCCAGACACAGAACAAATGCTGCATGATATTAATTATATGAAGTATATAAAACAATCAAACACATAGCAGCAGAGAGTAGAATGGTGGTTACCAGGGACTAGATAAGGAGAAATGGGGAGTTGCCATTTAACCAGTATAAAGCTTCAGCTGTGCAAGATTATCAAGTTTTAGAAATCTGCTGTACAGCATTATAATGAACAATACTGTATTGTACACTTAAAATTGTGCTAAGAGGGTAGGCCACATGTTAAGAGTTCTTACCATAATAACAATAATAAAACACTGCTTTGGAACAAAATTATATTATGGTCCTACTAAATATAGCAAGTGAGGAACTTTTTATGGAAGGTATGCATCTTAATAACTACTTTAAAAACAAAAGGCCCTTTAAACATATTTCTCTCCTGCTTTCCAAACAATAATTTAATTTAGCAGATTAAAAATCTAGTTCCAAATCTTTATGCACTTTAATATAAAATTATCTCCATAAAGTAGGGGCAAAAAAAGCAAGACACAGAACACTGTAAAGTATTCTGCCATTTGTGTGTGTGTATACAAAGACACAGACACATGCACACCTTTTACATACATTTGTACACACACATAAGTTGTTTTACATATGTGCAGAAAATCTCTGAAAACCTAATTGATAGAGGACACGAATGTAAGGAAGCCAATTTTCATGGTATAACCACTTGTATATTTTGAATTTTTCACTATATGCAAGGGTGACCTTTCAAAATACATTTAAGATATACATTAAAAACTTCTATTTACTACTCAAGACAATTAAAAAAATTTTAAAGAGCATTACTGAGATATAATTCGCATGCAAAAAAATTCTGTATAAAGCATACAATTCTACGGCTTTCATTAGTATATTCACAAAGTTGTGTATCCATCACCATGATCGATTTTAGAACAATTTCATCATCCCAAAAAGAAACCCTCTTCTCCCCTCAGCTGTCATTCTTCAATCCAAACACCCACACCAGCTCTGGTTAACCAATGATCTACTTTCTGTCTCCACAGATTTGTCTATTCTGGGCATTTAATAGAATGCAATCATATAATATGTGGTCTTTTATGACTGGCTCCTTTCACTTAGCATTTTGTTTTCAAGGTCATCCACGTTGTAGCACATATATCAGTATACTTCATTCCTTTTTATTGCCAAATAATATTCCACTGGATAGCTATATATCAACATTTTGTTTAACTATTCATCAGTTGATGGACATTTGCTCTATTTTCAATTTTTTATATTATTAATATATTTTCATATTTTTATTGGCCATTTGTATATCTTCTTTGGAGAACTGTCTAGTCAGATCCTTCACCCACTTTTTTAATCAGGTTATTTTTTCAAGACAAATAAAACTCTTAATGTAAAACTTCAATGTACAAAATTATCTCTTAAATAATCAGAAATAGGAGACATGCAATAGTAAATTTGGAATATCTATACACATAACAGTCAACAACACTTTCTGGGAATTAGTAGGAAATATTTTATCTGCCTATAACAGTGTATTGCCCATGTTATCAAAGTGAGATAAAACATTTTGGAAAACTCACATTTGTACATCATATTATAGTTTCAAAACACTTCCATATGCACAAACTCACTCAAGTAATTAAGCTTCACAGCAACCCTATAAGGAAGGTATTAGTTTTGTTGTACAGTTAGGAAACTGAGGTTCAGAGGCTACTTTAAGAACCTGCTAAAATGAAGAAAAATAAAAACATTTATATAAGCACTTAAATCAGTTTTTATTAGGCCTTTTCTGATATCCTTATTATAACTGTTCATTATTGAAACAGGTGATGAATTCTAATTTTAAAAGTTAGCATATTAGTACTTCTTTACCAGAAGCCATGGCAAATAAAATATCCCCATTTACTTTTATCTTTCTAAAAATCTCTGTAATGAATTTGTTAAGCATATTGTTTGCTTTTTTAAAAATTGTGTAAATTTAAAAAACAAACCAAAAAAACGGGGCAAATTTATTGCTTAAGAAACTGAAGAATTACATTGTAATTCTTTTTTTTTTTTTTTTTTAAATATATCTTTATTGATTTCAGAGAG